TTTATTGCGTTTATCGATTCGACAGAAACAGATGGAACGAATGGACTTACTTTTGCGAGAGGAACAAGGGAGAAGTTGGCCTTTCTCCTTTTTTTTTGCGGACCACAACGGATACAGTTTGCGACAGTTCACGAGAAATCGTCTTCCTTTGAATATAATTGCGGCAGCTTGGAGAGCTTCGTATTTTTCTCCGACGTTTTACCTTTTGCCCTGTTGCTTCCTGCAAATTTCGGGATTGCTCGCGGTGGGAAATCCTCGAAATCCTCGTTTTATCCAATTCGAGGGAAGTCGATGCAAATGTCCCGAAATAACATTTTCTACGCTTACGAAAATTGGACGCGTTTAAAATTCGAGTCGTAACAAATTTGGACTCGTTGTTGTCGTTATCGGAGAAGAGGAAAACTGTTCAGAAACCAACTAACCAGCTTTTTCCTTTTCAGAAGAAACAATCACGCTTCTGAATAAATCGTCGAGTTCGAGATCGCAACTCGATCGTTTTCCTTCTTAGATTCTCAGATGTGACAGAACGTAAGATAGAGAAATTCCTGCATCGAGGAATTAAACTTAATCGCGAAATTTTCAGGCGACATCGACAACCGCCTTTTGCGATTTGTTATTCCTTTTCCCCGATGAAAAATGAATAATACCTCGCCCACATGAGATTTCGCTCATTTTTCAACAGAGCGAGAGAGAAAGGAAGAAACGGGCGTTGAACGTTGCAACGTTCCATATGTAAAGTGTTGTCCTTCTATCGCCGCCCATGAATATTTCATCTTTGTGCAACCGTGCACCTGCCTGGGAAACGACAACTTAATTCCTCTTGTATCCTTGTAGCCGCCGCTTTTGCGTTGTAAGGAATGGCAGCCGTTATCGCACCACGGTTCTTCGTATCTCCACTTCTTCGCTCTAACAAAGCGGCCAGTTTTTCTCGTTAGCCAGGCTCGCGAACAGAAATTCGTGTTTCAACGCGCGTTTCAAGACCCTTTTGACCGAATCTGTACGTTGGTTTTTCGGTCACGGGACCAGACGGAAGGAAATTTATGAAATTTAATTGCGCTCTTTTGTTCCCCTTTGACGTTACGTGTACATACACGTATGTACACTGCCGCAGTCCGCATCTGTTTTCTAAAGTGAGAATAGGGAAGAGGGAGGGGAGAGTTTATAACGCGAATCGGTTTAAAATTTCCACGAACGCGTGAAACACGAAATTTCTAGAATTTGGAAAGAGTTTGATATAGCTTTTTTCCTCAGATATTAACTCTTTCGCTACGCCAAAAATGTGTTTATTGGAAAAAATATTGATACTACATTTCCAGAGAGAGTGCGATATCTCCAATCGTCAACTCGTCGTGTCACACGATACGCGACATTTTGTGCAGAGCGACTAGCAGTCGCCTGTAGCAACGAAAGGTTCAAGCACTGAATGGACGAGTCGAAACTCGTTAACGTATTTTCACACGTTAACACGCGGGATTTAACACGCTTTCGTTCGTTCGGGAGCTCGTTTGGAAGGTCGAAGGAAAAGAGAGAAAGGAAGAAAGAAAGGAAAATCCGTTGTATTTGCGCTGGAAATTTGGATCACGCGTCGAAACCTGGACTCGAATAAAAATTTGCTTGAAGAGTTGATGGACCGTTTTGACGATAGGTTGAAGGAACGAGAAAGAAGATAAAGGGCTATGTCATCCTTGAAAATTAATTAATTTCTCGATTTCTCGAAAACTTGCGCGGAATGGAATGGCGCGACAACGGTGAAAATTTTAAATTCCATTTTTCCCCAGTTTGCAGGGATCGGGAAAGACAATGGAAGGCTGGTGCAGTTACACGCGATACAACGCGTGAAACCTATTTCCCTCTTGTGTCTCTCGCCATTCCTCCACCACCCGAGTAAATCCGCTTCAATTGTCGTGGATCCCCTTTCATTAGCATCCGTAACGAAGTCACCAGTTTTTCCTTAGCCTTTGGTATCGGCTGGTGTCGACACGAGGCCGGACGCGAGCAAGAAAAGCCGACCAAGCTTTTGTAAACAAAACACCGCTTCTCTACCGCTTTGCCCGCTATTTCTCCTCTCATTCGCGGTCTAAACGGCCGTTGCTCGAGTACGGAAGAATCGTGCTTCGCGTTCCTCGATTTTACCCGATTTTAACGTGCACCCAGTTTTTACCGCTTTCCTCGATTTCTCCTTCCTCCTCCCCCACCCCTCTTCTTTGAAAAGAAGTGGAAGGAGGGGATTGATCCAGGAATAACGAGTACGATTTATCACTCGGGAGGAATAAATTGAAAGTAGTGGTAATAAATAGTTGTTTGATCGATGCGATGGATTTCTGGACGAACGTTTCGAACGGAGGGAAATGGAATTTTATCGGCGTGTTGGGAATCAAGGTAAGGCAATTTTTTAAAAGCAAACGTTAACCTTATAATCCCCCGTTGGCTGATTATCCCGATTCGGATTCGATTCAAAAAAGAAAAAAAAAAAAACAGCTTTCCGACGCGTGCTTTTAACCGGAAGTGTTTCCCTTTTCGCATCAGATGATGGTCTTTTTTCCATCCTTCTAATAAAGATATGTCGGAATATAAATTTTCTCCATATTGAAATTTTCAATTATATTCGGTTATCTTACATTCAGTAGTTTCGTCTTGCGTTAACGTTATCGTTTCGGATTAATTGTCAAAATTTCCGAAAGGAAATTTGTGCATACAATTCGTTGACAATTTCTCGATACAAGGAAACAGGTAAGAATCTCGTTGTCGGCGAATATTCCGAGATTCGCCAGCTTCTATCGAAATACCAAAATGCCAAGGCGAAAATTGAATTATACGTGGCGCCTGTGGATAGCGATGACAACGATGCAACGAGCGTCGTACCGACAGGGGCCATCTTGCGCTTTCCTGTTAGGTGTCGATCTATCTATCGGATGTTTACCGCTATCGAACAGAAAATCGAGAGCCATCTTGGCGAGACTTTTTTTTCGAACGAAATCCCTGAATTTCCGCCGAAAATTATCACGAAATTGTCACACTCGTGCCAATTTTTCAACAACAACGAACGACAATCACGATTGGTTCGAAAAACCTGTTACCCTTTCCTCTCCTATCATCTTGCGACATTCGAAGGAAAGGAGTTTCGAGAATATCTCTCGAGAATATTTTCGATAACTTCCTCGAAGTTATCAAAGTAAATATACATATATGTATATCTATTTAATATTCGACTAGGAATAAATCTGTCCTAGCTTGTTCGCGAAAAAATTTGAAACGATAAATCCCCGTATTTCGAATGTCAAAAGCAGATGAAAGGTGCGGGGATTACTTATGGAACAGTCTGGCCACGAAGACGTTGGAAAACGTCAGCATGCAAATGAAATATTTCTTCCTTTTTTTTTTTTCCTTTCTTTCCTTTCCTTCTCTTTCCTTTTCTCTTCTCTCCATTCGCCTCGCTCGCAACGATACTTCATAATTCGGTCACGTAACCGGACAAAAACTGTATAGAGCGTACGTGCCTGTACTGTCGCGATATATTTGAACCGAATCTCTGAGAGGTTTAGCTTCCTTCCATCCGTGAGATATCCGACCGGTAAGCGGCACGTAGATAAGAAGCTGAATTTTTTATCATCCAAGAGATGGAGACAGATCCGTCGATGGCCATTTTCGATTCGATCGAGTCGAGACTTCTTAATCGAATTACGTATCCATCCGTGCGTACACGTAACGAACGTAACGTTCATACAAATATTCCCCTTCGAGAAACATTTCTTCCTGATCGAGTTAACTCGATCTCTATCCTCGTCGATAGATGGATAAATAAATTCGCACAATTTCGCCCTTTCCTTCTTTTTTTTTTTTAATTCTTATCCAAGAACTGGGTTATCCAATTCTTGGAGGGGGTTTCTTGTCAATGAGTGAAAATAAAATTTTTTACCACCCCACCGTGTAAGAAGAAAAAGGAAGAAAGAGAGGGGAAAATTATTAAACGAGCGAGTCGAGGATAGGAGAACAGGACTGGTGTAAGGCGAACAACAAGTTCGTTTCGTTCGTACTTTTTAATTACATAATGTGACGCGTCTCTCTCCCTCCTTCCACCTTTCTCTCTGTGTACATCCTAGTTCGTTGTGGTCACGGTTAACGAAAAGACGACGGCTCTTTTTTCTTCTTCTTCTTCTTCTTTCCCTCCCCCTCGACTTTAGTTTTTTCTAAAGCCATGGCCACGGCGCGCGAGAGCCACGCTGCGAGAAAGAAGCAAACGCTTTTTCGCCCGGGTTTCATTAGACCAGGGATCCAGGCCATTTCCTCCTCCGCTCCTAGACTCGTTCCCCGGCGGCCGGGGATAGAGCCGCGTTGCTCTCTTGATTAAGGGCCTCGAGCAGCGGTATTAAAAATTCCACGGCTTAGGGTTAAATTTAGAAACCACGTGGGCGAAACTCTGAAGGAGGAGAAGAAAGGTGGGTAGGGTGTATTTCGTCGCCACGTTTTTTCACCGTTTCCACGAAAGTTTCAAAAAACTGTTGCTGCGTCGCGAGGCGACTTAATTGTTGGGGCTCGTGGTTGGAAATCGTATTTTTCGACGGGTGATCGGGTGATCGTCGTTGAGCGCACGCGTTGGATAAATTACGACGATAGCGATCTCTCGTGAAAGCGGTTGAGCGGGTTTCCATGCAAAAACTGGGGGGGAGGGGAGGGGGAGAAACTTTGGCCAATTTATGGGAGGCGAGTTTGTCCCTTAAACGGAAGCGACTGTCATCGGCACACGAGATCGGTTCTTCGGATGGAAGAGCGGCGTGGTTTCGACGTGGTTCAACGTTTGTTTCTCTACGCGGATCTTGATACAAATTTCTCACAGATTGATATCCACGAAGGATAAAGTTTATCGAAGACTCTCTCTCTCTCTCTCTTTTCGTGAACTTCTACGAAAGAAATTCTATGGGAAGAGATTGCGTCGAGATTTTTTTCCCTCCTTCTTTCCTCTCCGCAAAGAGAAAGAAAAAAAAGAGAAGGGGGGAAGGAAAGTACGTATCAAAGAAATGTTGGTAATACCGCGTTTATCCGACGAATTAAGGGATGCTTCTCGCTTCGTAGCGGCCAGCCATTCGAGAAACTTTGATCATTTAAATGCAGATCAACCTGTACATCTTTGTTTGCACAGTCACAATTCAAGCCCTGTCATGGAAAGTACGAACATATCCATTCATTCACAGCGAGGCGAGGCGCACGAAGGCTTTACGAAGTTAACTCTCGGGAAGCGAGAGAAGAGGAGGCGACATCCTTATGCTCCGACGAGGAAGAAGACAGAGCTTTGTGATCCCGCGTGTAATTCGGTATCATTTGATTATCTCTGATTATTCAGCGTCTCCCTTTCTTCCCTCTCGCCGTCTCTTCCATTGTTTTCCACCGTGAAATCGAAAGAGGGAGGTAACACTAACAATTACACATCAAGTTCCATTTATCTTCAACCTTTACGGCTTAATAATAATTCCCTTCGAGATTCAGGTATCGTCCTCAACTTGAATTACACCTTCCCGTGATCCCGAATAAAAACCTGGACCCTGGATTTAGGAAGCGATAATATTTGAAAAATCGAGATACGCGGATGAAGAAGAATATACGAACGATATCCGTAACGAAATTTTCTTTGCTTACCACATTAAGATTAATAATAATATATAATATATATATTATTATTATTATTAATATATATATTATATAATAATATATAAATAATATATATAATAATAAATTCGAGTAATTTGTTTTATACGAACAAATCTTCGAAATCATCTTCCTAGATGACAATTTTCCTAGATCGAACGTTATTCGTATTGAATTACGAGAAACAATCAAACGGAGGATTTTAAGATCTGAGAAGAGTAAATAAATAATTGGGAAAAATAGGAAGATGATTTGTCCTTCGTTTGGAGATTGCACAAATCGTACATACCGTCGTGTCATCTTGTGCGAAGCCAATTTTCGTTACGCTTGCCAAACTGCATCCACTGTGTACTTAGGCTGCTCTATTAACACCCTTATTGCATCGTGGTGGTGGATAACGTTAGCGAGTGTCGTTTAATTTATGCACATAATCTTGATGATTAAACAAACGAAGAGCTTCTGTTCGACGTTCGCTCTTCTTCTCGTCAAGTATCTCGGAACAGGGGGTTGAAGAATGTCACCGAGGAAAGGGGGTTGAATTTATTATACACCCCTCTCCACAAGCCACGGGGATATTTGATACTATTTTGGGTAAACGAACCGGTCGTAATTAGAAGTTCACAGGCATTCATCCAAGTAGAGACGCTTGTTTATTGAATATTTTATTATAATCTATTTTAATAAGCATCGTGGCACGGAAAATAGAAAACCTTGGAAACTTGTGGAACGAGGATATATCTCGGCCAAGATCCATTGCATTAAGCTTGATTAATAATCGATTGGAAGAGGGAGAGTCTCGAAACCGTCCCCCGAAGAATTCGAATTTTCAAGGATTTTGGAAACCGATAATTAGATCCTCCCTTTCTTTCTTTCATTCCGATCGATCTCTGAAACGAACGAACGCACAGAACGATCTCTTTTCAGATCTAAACATCTTCTCGAGCGGAAGGATCGATCGTAAATAAACCGTGTGTCGATGTAATCAAAAATGATGAAGTGACGAGGAATTCAACCGGGATATATTTTATATCGTAATGGTGATGGCTTCGAGGTGCAATTTCTCTCTCCCCGTATTTATATCGGGGGATGCATTAGTATCGCGGATGTAATTTCCCCGCGATTTTTCCACGGTATTTTTCCACTCCCTCTCTATCTTTATCAAAGTTACTTTCAACGCTTATAAAACATTCTGGAACACGTACGCTTATAGAAATAGGGGTGGGAGGTATCCTAGGATGGAAGCCACGTCTCGGTGCTACTATTTTGCGTGTATGAATAAATTTCGCATTCGAGGATGCATTATTATAATCGCATTAACGCGACTTTACGGGACTGTTGGAGGGGTAAATTGAATCGAATAAATCGCGCGTTTTCGCGATTGTATATAAATTGGTACGAAGAGGGGGGAAGGGGAGTGGGAGTGGATTCTTTGAAATATAAATTCGGTGATAATGTGGGGCAAAATAAAGGCCGTGGCCTCGCCCGTAAAATATCGTCGAAAATACCGAGGTACTCAAAAACTTCTTTCCCTTAAATTTAAGGGAAAGCGGGATCCCTTGTAGAATCGTAGTGAAATCGCGTCGAACGCGGTGAATGTTGCCCGATTTTGTTTGGAATTCGTCCAATCTCGAAAGAATCGTTGAAAATTTCTTCCACGTCGTCATAGTTTCCCGCTTACGCGGTGATTCGTCCTCGTTTCCCTGTTGTAACCGCCCTGTTTTCTTCTAATCGTCTAAAGAAGAAAAAAAAAAGAGAAAAGAAAAAAAGAAGAAAAAGAGAGAGAGAAAAAAAGAAGCGAAAGAAGAAATTCACGGGAGATAACGAAACAAATCGAGCCCGTGTGATTTATCGTGGCTTAATCCACCGATATCCAGGCACGATACTCGACGATTTTTCACCAACCGACTGCAGATCTATCGTTGAAATTCGGCTAATACCGACCTACCGGTCTCCTCTCGCAACCGGGAATTTTTCGCTCGAAATAGGCGAAAAAATAGTGGCCGCGTCTAGAAAAAAGGCGAAAAAACGGGGAAAATTTCGCGCGACGTCATGACACGTTCACGTGGGGGAGATCCGGGGGGGAAATGAGAGAGGAACAGTGGAAATACAAGCGGCCGAGGGCGGCGATAAATCGTTTTCCACCTCGTGCTCTCTCGCTCGGTCGAATAGAATCGGAAGAAGAAGCGGTGTTCTCGGCGTGCCGGATTACCGAATCTCCTGCCGAGTCGATCGATTTTTCCTCATTCCTCGAGGCTTTGAAATTGCCTTGATCCACGCCTATAATATTCCTCTCAGCTTGTATTATTGAACCTTCGTTCGCCAACCTTCCAATTTTTTATTAAAAGAAAAAATTTCTCCAAAATTCTTCTCAACGATTCTCCTCGACGAGACGTGAATGCTCTTCGTCATGTTTGAACATTTATGCATAGAAGAGCATAAATGGAGAAAGAATTGTAACGATTCTCAATCGAAGTTAGAAGAAATTGTAATAATCCGATACAATCGAAAGGAATATCGAGTGGTATAAATCTTGGACGATATCCACGAGTGGATGTACGCGAAATAAGCAAACTGCACCGATATCTTAATCCAGGTTTCGAAGATCGAGAGCTTGGTCGCAAATATCGGAAGTACTTGGTCGCAAATATCGTCCCCTATCTTCTCGTGCATATGCTCGTCCCTCTCTCTCTCTCTCTCTCTCTCTC